TACTGCTGATCACAGTTACTGCCACTAAAATGAAAACTAAAAAGGCCTCAGATTAAAAAAAAAAAGCTTCAGGTTAAAAGGGGTTTTAGTGTACCAAAAAATGTTCAAGTTAAATTTTAGCAAATGTTTGAATCCAGCTCCGAAAGCATTTCCTTGTTTTTTCTCTCTTCTTTAAGAAGCGTTTAATTAAAAAGAGGAGAAAAACCTCATTCAGGGCCAAATTCTTGGCACTATCTTGTATTATTCTGGTGGGAAAAACTGCTGAACTTTCCATTGAGGGGGATCTTTCCTGTGTGGCCTCTGTCATAGGAGACAGGCGGAGGCAGGTTTAAGAGGGGAAGGATCATGTGGGGTCTTCTGATGCTCTGAGGGGAGGGGAAGAGGGTAGTGGTGAAGAGTGTCTCAGTCATCTGGAAGAGATTACAGCAGACTTGGGCACTACACAGTTCTAATTCATGATGGGGCAGGGGTGGAACTAGCTAAAAGATCAGGAAGCTTCAATTTCATACCGTACAGGTCTGTCTTCATTGGCGCTGAAGGATATTGGGTTTGGCAAAGGTTCTAGCCATTTATTACTTGTCAATAAAAGGACAGTAAAATATGCTTTTTGCTTTTTTTTTTTTTTTTAAGTTCTAGGTTTATGGAAACAAATGTACAGTCTGTGATGTATAGCTTCTTCTTGTAAGCCTCTGAACAGCCAACTTAACATCCTCCTTCAAAACTTTCCTTTTCCATTGTGCCTCCAGTGACCTGACACAAGCCATGCTGCCATTGTGTCAATACCACTGACTACCATACCGAGTAAAACTGCCCAATTGTTTCTTCTTACCTCCTCCCATATTTTTTACACTGAGACTGTAAGCTTATTGGGACAGGTCATCTTTTACTCTTTCTTTCTATACTGTCTAGCACAACAGAGTCTAACCCACAGCCAGATTTGCTCAGCTCTCTGGTAATAAAAGCTATTAACAATTTCTGAAAGATCATATAAAACATTTATTACTTAGAGTTTATCATAGAGATCACTCTTAGAAAGCTTTTACTAAAACTACATACTGGGAAGATAGAATCTGCAAAAATATAAATGGTCCCTGGCTCATAAAAGGTTCATTCAGTCTACAACAGAGGTTCTCAACCAGGATGCTACAGGGCCCCATCAGGGATGCTGCAGTAGCAGTGGCCAGGTAAAACTGCCCATGTGCTCCTGCTGCATTAGGACTCTATTCAGCTTAATGCAGGCAGCAAAGCTGCCTCATGCTGTGCAGCTCTTTCTGATCTGTTCCCCAATGCTCCTCCCAGAAACAGGCACAGGTAGAATTATCCCATCTGCCTGTTTCCTGAAGGAGCATTAGGAATGCCAGACCACAAAGAGCTGCACAGCATGAAGCAGCTCCATTGCTTGCTTTAGACTGACCAGAGCCCTAACACAGAAGGAGCATGGCACAGCCCTTCCTGGGCTGGCTTTGCAGTATGGAGCAGTTTCACTGCAGTTGTACAACCCTTCCCCAGCAACATACCCTGCATAAGAAGCATTTAGGTAAACTGAGGCAGCACCAAGAGTGGTTCTCACACAGGGGTGCCACTGCATTAAAAAAAATAAAGGATGCTTTGACCCTGAAAAGTTTGAGAAACACTGGATTAGAGGCTGTTCCTATTCAAGCTGACAAGTATCCCTTTAAGTGCTTGCCCACACACCATAATGTTAGAGTACCTTTCTTTTCTGTTGCATTTTATCTACCAAAAGTAACTGGACCTTTAAGTAAAAGTAAGTGCATCTGAGCACATATTTGGGAATGTTTTTCTTTGCTATATATTTTTCCTCTGAAATATATTCTCCAAACTGTATATTGGTTTAACTCCATTAACTTAACAATAGTTAATTCTGACTGATATCAACTTTGGACTCACTTTGAATATTCTTAAAGCAGCATGATGTGGTGATGTCTGAAATTTTCACTATAAAAAGGGTCATGTCAATGCAGCATGTGGTATTTAACAGTAAGTCAGATAACTCACCTGACAGTGAACATATAAATCTATGCATCATAAAATGCAGGATTCTATGAAGACTAGTGTCACAAACCCACCCCAAGTAGGAAAAATCTTGCAGTTCAGTGTCTCGTGAAGAGATATTTGTCCTGAGTTTAACTAACCTCACACTTCCTCTTTCAAAAGCTGTAAGCTGTATTTGTCAGTATCATTCGTATTGCCGTGTGGAACATGACATTGTATGCATCTAGCAATTCTGTATGCATCTAGCATGATTTAAATCTACAGGTTATAGCCAGATCCCCAGTTAATGTTTACTGATATGTCAGAAGAACTATGGTATCAAACCTAATGAACAGAGGGAAGGCAAAACTATTAGCTAATTACAGGGACAAGCAATTGCTAATCTCAGACACTCGGCTATTATTGGAATGGGCACACAAAATACTGAAGGTATCAATCTGCCTGTAAAGAGAAACATTAGCTTCACAATAAGTATATCCCAGGGAAATGGGCCATTACCTGGAAGATGCCCCAGGTAGGAAAGAAGTTTCTGAAGGATTTGGACAATCACCAGAAAATGGGACTGGAACAGTAGAGACAAGGAAGCTGGCTTGAAGGTATTTAGGTGTCTGTTAGGCAAAGGTGTTTTGGGATGTTCTCATGCCTTGCGAGAAATGCTGGTTCCCAGCTATCAGAGCTAGCAGTCAGCGGGAAGCCTGGTCTCTGAAATTCTACCAGGACTTTGAATAACTGTGCTATAGTCAGGAAAGAGGACAAGAAATTCTGTTTGTTTTTGGTTCTGTACTCTGCCTCCAAACTGGTTCACTTTTCCTTGTACATTTATTTCTTCTAGGTACTACAGCATTTTGTTGCCTAACTGGCTGCCTGCAGTAAAGTGTGATTTCAGAGCAAGCAGTATTCCAGACATGCCTCTTCTACAGAGTGGGGGACTCATACATTTTGAATAACCTTGGAGAAGACACTCTGGAGCTGGCAAAGATTGCCCTGTTGTAGCTGTGGAGTCTGCCCTGTTGTAGCTGTGGTATAGGGCAAGTTCAACTGAGGTTTGTGGGGATGAGGAGTCATCCTGCAGGAAACATTAATCTATTCTTTAAGGCAAGCAGCAGTAAACCAGGAAGAAACTTGGGGCTACAGGGGGACTCCAAAGCTGGGTCTGTGACAACCAAAATACTGACAACTCTTCCAGAGCCCTTATTGGTATCATCAATGTATCAAATTAAATTTCAAAGTCCAACAAAGAAATATGATCCCAGAAAGAAAAAACAAAGATCCAAAAGAAAATTCTATTTGCCATTACGTTAAACTAGAGCATAGGCTGATCCTGGGAGGTACTGAACTCCTTTGGTGACTGTCAGCAGTCCCTCGATATGAGGATGACAGTCTTCCAGTAGATAGGGAAGTCATCAGAGAGTCCAGAGATGGCTGAAGAGACCAAACTGAGATCTGCATGTTCAACTGCAGATACAGCATACCATTCCAGAAACAATGAATGGATCCTGGTGATGTCAGGTGACATCTCTTTCCCCTCTCTCTCTCTCTCTCTCTCTCTCTCTCTCTCTTATCTATTCCCTCCACAGGAAGGCAAGTTTGCTCAAAATGGTTGATACCTTGATGTACTTTACAGCACCACTGGGGATGATTCAGCATTCGGGTGTCTCAGGTATTGATATCAATATCACATTTCTTCAGATTGGCCTTCAGGGTGTCCTAAAATCTCTTCTTTTGCTCAACTCTAAAACAGTGATCACTGACGAGTTGGAAGTATAAGATCTGTTTCAGGATCCAGTTATCAGGCATTCTGATGACATGCCCCGTCCAAAGCAGCTGGTGCTGTATAAACATGGCTTCAGTGCCAGTGGTGCTTGCTTGAGCCAGAACACAGGCATTCATTCTTCTATCCTTCCAATTGATATGGATGATTTTCTAAAGACATTGCTGATGGTACATCCCAAGGCTTTCAAGTAGTTCTGTATTTCTGATACATTGTCCAGGTTTCACATGCATACAACAGGGTAGGGATGACAACAACTTGGTAGACAAAAAATCTGACTTACATCCTGATATCTTAATCAAAGACACAGTTCTGGATATGTCCAAAGGCAACACTGGCAGATTTTATGCAATGTGGAATATCATCATCTATGTTTACTTTTTGGGAAAAGTGACTCACCAGGTATGGGAAATGCTCAACATTCTTCAAGGACTCATTCTTCAAGGACTACCTTCTAATTGTAGTATGTGGGAGAGCAGCTACATGGTTTGGGGTAGACTGATAAAGTATTTTAGTTTTTGTGAAGTTGACAGTGAGTCCAAGCATTTCATATGCTTCACAGAAGCAGTCAAAAGTGACCTGAAGCTCTTCAACTGAGTGGGCACACATGACACAGTCATCAGCATACTGCAAATCAGTAACTGAGGTGTTGGATTTGGAATGTGACTGGTTAATGTTAGAGATTCCCATCCAAGCAATGCCAGATGCCAACTTGAGATGGAGGTCTACCAGCAATGAGATGCAGAATAGCTATGATTATGGACGGGAAAAAAAATGGTGTAATCACACATCTTGCTTGACTCCAGTTCTAATGGTGAAAGGGTCAGATTCCACAGCGTTGCTTAGGACAGCTACTGTAACGTCGCCTTGGAAAAGTCTTATGATGGTAACAAGTTTTGGAGGATATTTTGCAGCACTGACTCGTGATGATGAACTTACATTTTACACTTGCTGAAATCAACAGATTGAGTTTTTCCTATTACTTCTCAGAAGGATTTCACAGCTTCTTAGCTTTAACAGAGGTCAGTATTTCTCTGGATCAAGTGATTTATTATTAACTTGAATATTACAATCTGTGTACTAAAAATAATAAAATTAACTATTACACATCACATTCTGCTTCTATGAGCATATTCTGACTTTTATAGAATCCTGTTTTGCACAATAAACAGTTGCTTTAAAAATAGTGAAGGTGGGGAAAACAGACTTTTTTTACCTTTATGGAATTTAAGATGCTAGTCCCCTTCTCAGTTTCTATTCTGCAGTTCTCACACTCCATATTCTCTACCTTTACACAGCCAGTCCCCCATGTCTTGATATCCAAATCTAAAATTTAAAAAATTAAAAATGAGACTTTGTGATCAAATACTACAGTGAGGAAGAACTATTCTTTTTTCTCTTGAAGCCTAGGAAACAGACTTTACAAAATAAATGAGAAAAAAAAAATCACTGAACCAGAGAATACTTTATTATGTCATGTTCCTTCACAGCTTGGTCTGGTTCTATTCCCTATCTGACCAGTGACTCTCCTTGACATTAGGGTGCAGTAAATAAACTAACTCCACTATAAATAGCACTGTTGGGGATGCTACTATGTTACAGCAGAGTACTTAACTGCAATGCACATGAAGAGTGATAGGGGTTGGCTGGGGCATGAGGGTGCTAAAGTACAGGGGCTGCCTGCTGCCTAGCCCCGCATTTTAGCACCATTCTGTCCCAGCCAGCCCTTCCGCTGCTGCCACGCAGAGCCCGGACCTGACCCCCTGGGCCACCTAGCAGCCTAGGACTGCTCCACCCCAGCTCTAATGGCTGCTGTCTTACGCACATGTGCAAACACTGTGCCCAGGAGCAGTTAACTCCAGCATGTACTGAGCAGGAGTTTAATCACATCATCTTAATGGCATGAATAGATGCACCCTGGAGGAACAGCTAATTTCTCACATGCTGATAAAGACAACTAATTAACCTACCAGAAAAGACATGCCACTCCAGGACTGAGCAAGTGTTCATGCAGATCATTCTAACTGCCAATGGAGTTATTAAAGAGCTGCGAGATTGGAGGCCAAAGTGATGCAGCAATTATGGATCAGTTTAAGGTGGGAAAGCAGCAGCAGAAAGGAGTAGTGGTTGAATTGAACCACAAAGGGAGTCCTCAAGTCAGTCAAAAGTATGTGAATACCTTAGCTTAAAATTCAAAGGGGTCCACACCTCCATCTGAATACTTTTAGGGGCCCCACAAATGAAAAAAAGGTTGAAAATCACTGTCCTGGAGAATCAAATAATGTAGGCTGAGAAGGAATTATTGCAGCTTGAAATAAAGAAGCCAGAATGAACATGGCAGTAAAAGGGAGACTGTGAAAAGGATCAAGCAGGTGAACTGAAACTTGCAAGATTGGTCAAACAGAGACTCCCAAGTCAGGAACTGGGAATAGAACATGTGAACAGCACTGCCAGGATTGACATGAGCGTTACTGCTCCTCTAATTGCTGTTTACCTACCCCCAAAAAATGATTTTCAACTTTTGAGCTGCTTTGGAGAAGGAAGCATCAGGGTCCCATGAACTTATCTTTACTTCACTGCAGTTAAAGGAATATCAAAGCCCTGTATTTTTTGAAAGGCAACTAACCTGGAACTAGTGGTATTGTGCAACAAAAAGGATCTCTTTTTAAACTTCATGCAATTTAGGCCCTATCTTGATTCTTAAGTTTGATACAGTTACTTGTAACTTTTGGTGTCATGAAGCAAATGGATCTCTTCATTTTTTCTGTGTTTAATACAGGTAAGTTTGCGATGCTTTCACAGGCGGTAGCATGTATAGTTCCTCAGAGGCCCCGGTTTCACTTATCTGAACAAATCTGTCGCTCCACACGCCTTTTTTGCAGGAGCTTTCCAAAGGGGCACAGATATCTGAGGCTGTAGCCTGGTCAGCTGCTACGACCAGGCTGCAACAAAACCTACCGCGCTACCTGACCTCAGAGCATGCAGAAACCACCCTGCGACCTGGGAACAGGTCCAGCACATCCCCTAGCAAACCTGCTCTTCCCAGTTTCGTAACAACTGCGGATGGGCCCTCAGAGGAACGAGCCACGGGCGCAGTCCGCGTCCCCAGCCCCCAGGGAAGGCAACGAGGACAGCAGCCTAGCAGTGACGTGCAGATTGGCGTCCTCTCCTTACGGCAGCGGTTCCCAGCGTCCGACAGCTTGTGCACCGCGAATTGAAGGCAATGCAACCTTATGTACCACCAGCACGTTTTCGTCATATAAAAAAGAAATAATTATAATAAATTTGTTGGCACGCGTACAACAGACTGGGAACCGCCGCCTGGAGGGAAATGTGCCCCCTGACTGAGCCCTGCCAGGGACGCCCTCTTCCCCAGACACTTCGCGGACCTCGGGCTCCCGCTGCCCGCCCGGGCCCCGCACGCACCGAAGCAGGCGG